TACACAACGACCACACAGTGCCCTCAGACATGACATCGTCCACTGCCTCCAGCCTACTCCTCGCTGCAACATTCATCACCCATGCTTCACAGTCACACCCATATAAGAGCGTTGGTAAAACTATACTCTCATACATCCCCTCTTTGCCTCCAAGGACAAGTTCTTTGTCTCCACAGACTCCTAATGCACCCTCACTCTTTTCCCCCACAAATCCTATGATTCACCTCATCTTGCATAGACCCATCCGCTGACACGTCCCACATCTCAATATCAGAATACATTCACCCTCCTCCATACTCTCTCCCTCCAATCTGATATTCAATCTTTCATTCACCTAAATCTTTTTGTTATCCACATAACCTTACTCATTCCTGGTATACACCTTTAATTTTCTTCTTTTGCACACCCTACCAATTTCATCCAACCAATCCTGCAACTTCTCTTCAGAATCTCCCAAGAGCACAGATGTCATCAGCAAGAGCAGCTGTGACAACTCCCACTTTGTGTGTGATTCTTATCTTTTAACGTCCACTCCACCTTGCCAAGACCCTCGCATTTACTTCTCTTACAAAACCCCATCTATAAAATTTAGAGTATTAAACAACCCACGGTGACATCACTGCATCCGTGTCTAAGGCCTACATTTACTGGGAAATAATTTCCCTCTTTCCTACATACTCTAACTTGAGCCTCACAAATACCTCGTAAAAACTTTCACTGCTCAGTAAACCTACCTCCTACACCATACACTTGCAACATCTCCACATTGCCCCTATCACTCCTGTCCATATTCCTTTTCGCAAATCCATAAATGCCACAAAGACCTCTTTTAGCCTTATCTAAATACTGTTCACCTTATAATTTTTCAACTGTAAAACACCTGTCCAACACACCCCATACCTTTCCTAAAGACTCCTTGATCATCTGCTAACCCTATCTCTGTCTTACTCTTAATTCTTTCAATAATAACTCTACCAACACTTTACCAGGAATACTCAGCAACTTATCCCCCTATAGATTTTTGCACTCTCTTTTATCACCACCTTTGCTTTATACAAAGGCTCTATCAATATCTCTCTGCCAATCCCTAGGTACCTACCCTCTTTCCATACATTTTATTCAATAAATTGCACCAACCACTCCAAAACTATAATCCCCCCCCAACTGCTTTTAACATTTCTTTCTTATCCCATCAATCCCGCTGCCTTTACCCCTTTCATTTTACCTATGCTTCACGAACTTCCCCCACACTCACAACGGCTTTCCTCACTCCTACAGTATGTTATTCCTCCTTGTCCCTATACACCGCAAATCTCACTTCCCTAATCGTTCATCAACATTTAAACAATTCCTCAAAATATTCCCTCCATCTTCGCCAATACTCTACCTCTACCATTTAATCTCCTACCCTCCTCGACTATTTTTAAACTGACAAATCCATTTGTTCTCTAGGCTTTCTTAACTTGTTAAATCTCACTCCAAAACTTTTATTTCTTATTTCACAAAATTTGTTGATAACATCACCCACACTCACAATTGCTCTCTTTTTACATTGCTTCAACACCTACTAACCCCCTCTCTTTTCTCCATATACTCTCCGTCCTTGCCACTTCTACTTGTAAAAAACTTCCCATATTCTAACTTTTTCTCCTTACAATAACTCTCTTTACATCATCAATCCATCAAACGCTCCTCTTCTCTCCCTCACCCACTTTTCCTGTACCACAAACTTCTGCTTGAACAACTCAACCAATATATTCTTTTAACCTACCCACCAATACAATCTTTGACCCCAATGCCTATGCTCTCATTAAGCCACATCTATCCCCAAATAGCTGTTTTATATCTATACCCTAACTGCCTCCTTCTTCTAGGTTATAAACCTCACCTCTCTCTCCCTGATTGCTTCTATTCTCCTTGTATCCCATCTACCTATTAACACTCAGTGAGCTACAACTAAAAGTGATCTGATAATATGTGGCCCTCATAAACATGTACATCCTGAAGTCTACTCAAACAGTCTTTTATCTTACAATACATAAACCAACAAACAACAACTGTCATTTATTCGCCCGTACATCATATCTTGGTATACTTATTTATCCTCTTTTTCTTAAAATATTATTACCTACAAACTAAACCCCTATCTATACAAAGTTCAAATCAAAGAGCTCCATTATCATTTAAACCTGCACCCCAAACTTACCTACAACACCCCTCTAAAAGTTTCTCCTACTTTAGCATTCAGGACCCCAACCACAATACTCTCGTCACTTGGTTCAAAGGCTCCAATACATCACAATTAACATCCGATCTCCCAAAATCTCTCTCTCTCCTCTACATTCCCCTCTTTCTCCAGGGGCATACACGCTTATTATGACCCACTTTTTCGCATCCAACTTTACTTTTAATCCACATTAATTCCTTGAATTTTACACATTCATATTTCTCTTTTCTCCCTTCCATAACTGATCATTTAACATTACTGCAACCCCCTGTCCTTTGCTCTAACTCCTCTCAGATACTCCAGAAGTTTAATCCCATTAATTTCCCCCCACTGAAACTCCCCCCTACCAACCCTTCAGCCTTTGTTTTCCGCGTTTTAGGGCCAGGACATCCAACTTCTTTTCATTCAAACATCAGCAATCATCTGTTCTGTCATCTCCTCACTACATCCACGCAACATTTAAGCATTCCCAGTTTTTATAAAGTTTTTCACTTCTCTTTTTAGTAAATGATCTACAGGGAGACATGGGTTACACTAAGCCCTTTGCTCCCGGCTTGTTTAGTCGCCTCATACACACGATGGCTTACGGAGGAAAAGAATTTCTTTTCCACTTCCCCATGGACAATAGAAGAAATAAAGAAGACAACAAGAGCTATTTAGAAAAAGGAAAAAACCTAGATGTATGTATATATATATTCATGTTGCGTGACTGTGAAAGTGTGACCAAAGTGTAAAGTAAGGAGTAGCCAAGATACCCAGTTATCTAGGGCGTGTTTATGATACCAGAAAAAGAAACAATCAATCCTAACCATCCATTCAAAACAGTGACAGGTTTCTGTTTCACAGTCATCTACATTTTTTTTACATACTTTCATGATGTTGAAAAAACTTATATATACGTTTGGACCATTCAAGGGTTAATACCGCATTTTTTTCTCCACAATCCTTTGTTTCTATGAGAAGGAATCACTCCTCTGGCATCTTCCACTAACGATGATGTCAGGTCACCTGGGATGCACCTCATACGCTGTCCTTATTCCAGAGCCATTACCCTTGAAAACAGTCCATGGTCCGTATTATATGCTTAACAAGCCGAATGTGTTTTTGATGTATATACAGTGGAACCCCGTTTGTGATATTAATCCGTTCCCGAGAGCTCATCATAACCATAATTAACGG